TTCAAGCCTCAAACAAATATTTTCCCACGGGCTGCTCATTAACCTTGAGAGCTTTTAAAACCAGGCAGAGCTCACAAACTGAAACTTGGTTTTAAACTGGGCTAACCAAGAACTTGTAGATTTTACCACTGGTTTGATCTCGAACCGAAGCTTTTATCACTGACTGAGCTTGAAATTAAACTTACTTTTATCACGAGCTAACCAAGAATCTATGATATTTTACCACCAGGATGATCTCAAGTTGAAACAAGCTTTTATCATGGGCAGAGCTTGGATATAAACTTGGTTTTATCAGGGGCTAACCAAGAACCCAAATAGAGAATTGATCACACAATCCCCAAACAAAAGCTTTTCACATGTTTAGCTTCGGACCCAGACAAAAAAAATCTAAATGGATAGAATGAAAACAAACTTTCTTGGTGAACTTATAAAACTATCCTTCCAAAATTACAGCTTCCTCACTCCTAAAAGACATTCTCGAGAAAAAAATCGGCTAAAATTTTAGTGAGAGAAAGTAAACAAAAGAATTTTTTAGAGAGAGGGTGAGAAATGAGAAAATGAAATCATGTTTCTGGATGTGAAAAAGATTGGGAAGTGACCTCTATTTATAGGCTAGAGGTTGGTACAAAAAGGAAAAGATTTTATGGCCTTTTATGACTTGCCAATCGTTGATAACATACTTCAATCGATTAGTTGCCTTCAAATTAACAGCTTAATAGTTTAAAAATGAAAAACAAATATATTTAGTTGTTACACCGTATTAAGATACCGTCCTAATCGCTTAGGACACATTTTTGAACAGACTCATTTAATTGGGCTAAGTTGTCAATCAATTGGAAAAAGGCAACAATTTGCCCAAATCTTTTCTAGAAGATCCTAACTCATCTAGCACAACTTGAAGGAATTTTTTGAAAAAGTTTTCTTGAAAAAAAATAGTTTTAAAACTAGTTTGTGTGTGTGTGTGGTTTAGCCATGCGCTTTTACGAGAACACTCTTATGCTTTTACAATGTATTCACTAAAACATATAAATGAAGGACTTTCATACATTCATATACATGAATACTTATCATATGCTTTACCTTTGTAGACACTTGCTTAAGTTAGAGATGAGGATTGAGATATTTTCTATTTGGTTTCCATCATAAAAAAGTAAAGTCCATCAAACCTTAATAAACTAATTTCATCTTTAACCACTATTTTGTTGTCCTCTAAGTCTTGTTGTCATTATTAGATGTTTGTTCATCTTTTTTCTCATCATTAAAAACATATCCTATAACTTGTAAAACAAGGTTCCACATTCCCCACTCCCTTTTGTGATGATGAGAACACATCTCTCAGGGAGGTGGTAAAATAAATAACAAATATTTGTTTGGAGTGATTAAAATCCCCCTGACTTAAGTAGAGAGTATAGTCTACTTCTCCTAGAGTATACATCTTTCTTTTTGTTGAAATAAAAAAGACGGGTAAAGATGCATTGCGATAAATTTAAATATGAAAACATGAGCAAGTAAAAACTTAAGAGAAGGGAAAAAATTGTTTTATTCATTGATATAAATTACTAGGAATTCAAAGTACAAATATGGAGATTACATAATTGAAAAATAAAGAAAGCGGGTTGTCAGTTATGGGTTGTTGGGGCGGTTAATGAATATAGTAGTTGAAATCGTCTCTCTATGGGTGCTTCTTGATTGTTGGCTTTTCTTTCCTTTTCATTTGATGGAGGATTTTCAGTCACTTTTTCATTGATAATCTCAAATATCATTGACGGTGAAACAATCGGCTAAAAATCATCAAACAATGAAGTCGCCATCGAACGTCTTTTATCCCACATTAAGAGAAAGGTAAACATCGAGAAAACTTGAGAAGAGAGAAGTCACAGTCTTGCGACCGAGAGACCGGGTAAGGGAGGCTGTTATGTGAGGGGAAGGTATTAGCACCCCACACGCCCATAGTACTCTATGGTATCCACTCTTGTTGTCTATCTTATGGGTGTGTATAATTTATGCTTACTGTTTATTACTTCTAGGGAGAATGCATGCAAAAGAAAGGAGAAAAGAATGTAGGGAAAATAAATTTGTACTCGCTTGGGCCCTACCCCAATGCCTACATATCCTTTTTGAGGAATCAGAGCTACCGTAGTTTGGCTAACATGTTTTTGTTTGTTTTGTGTGTTTTATGGACAATGTTAATTCCGCCTTCTGTCGCAGCTCAACTTTTGGAGACTTATGCGTTGGCACAGAAGTAAATTAATCATGTCCTTACCTGAAAAGAGTTTTAGAGAAAGGGTGCTTGGGCACACAAAAAGGTTTGAGTCGGTTTGTATTTTGTTACCTTGAAAAAGGGTTTAAATGTAATTAGCATGTTTTTGATTTGCTAAGAAAATGAGTTTTAGTTTTAAATGCATATGCAAAAAGGGAAGAAAAGAGTCTATGGGGGACTAACCTACTTCTAAGCCTAATGTTATCATACAATGGTAGTCCTAAGGTTTGGATTAACAAAAGGGAAACGTCTACCAAATGTTAGCATGCATAGTTTGCAACCTAAGGTCTAACTTGCGTCCGAAGGGAACATGCACATCCTAAGGGAACATGGTATGGTACAAGGATAAAGCAGGCAAGCTCGAAAGAGCACACACGTCAAAGAGTAATGAAAAGAAATGAAATGCTTTAGCCAAGGGGAGCGTATCACCCGAGACAAACAAGCGGGAGTGAGATGAAAAAATAAAATGTGATGTACAAAGCGACTGAACACATAACCAAGATATAGGAGATCGAGGCAAGCGACATAAGACAATATGAACAATCACGAAGTATTAGCATCGGCCAATGCGAACTCTTGACAAAGTGTGGGGGTTCAATTGTGAAACCATTCCCCACTTGACATCATGATACACATGAGCAAGCACAACTCTGAAGCATCGTGGTACGTCACGAGCTAAGGATGACACAAACGAAATTGTGGGGGTTGATTGCTAACCCTCTCTACTCGCCTCCTTTTGAGGACTTCAATAAGGGATGGGGAATAGTGCGGGCACAAATATAAACACACATGCAGAATACCTACTCAAAGGTATGGTTTTAAATAAACCACACACAAGTAGCAAACAGAATGCACACAACACATAATTTTCCTAAACAGGTCTTTAAATAAACTAGAGGGGTTCCTGACATGATAAGCAACAGAGACCCCTGTTATACATCTTTACCCTACTTCTCATTGCATCAGAAACCAGTAAAGCCCATACTTCTCATGATATCTAGAAAAGCGGTAAAGTGCTGAAATGAGATAAACCAGAGCAAATACCAAACGAACGAAAGTTCGTAGCAAAACAAACAAAGCAAGAAATCCGGGAAAACCTCGTGCGAGCTTCACCAACCAAACAAAAATAGTCATAGAATTGAATGTATAATATAAGCACCATATCCTTCATGCGAAAATAGATCACATGCATATTAATTATCATGTAATAGTCCTGCACAAAAATACAAGACTATACAATGCAAAAATATTCCGCTAACGACTCATGGTATGAAAAATCTCTGTTGGAAGCTTGCACGAAATGCACCAAACGTGTTAGCAATTATCAAGGCAATATAACTCAAAACTAAAGCACTCATTCAAGGATCAGAACCTAATACTAATCATTCATTATGCTAGGGAAACTAAATCAAGGATATGTAATCGACAAAGTCACGCCAAAATCATAATTCTAATCATGTATCGAATCATTAATTCAATTAATTTCTAAACTAATAGAAAAATTATAAAAAAATCATCAAATTAGAGACTAATATGTTTAACATTTTCGAAAAATTACAGCAAGAAAATCACAAAAAAGAATCAAGAATTTAATTGCTAAAAATCATGAAATTAGAAAAAAGGAACTAAAAGAAAGCAAGGTGGTGTATGGACCATGGAAGGGTATGAAGCTTTAGAAACCTTACATAGGCGCTAGGTCCATCAACCAAGTCCAACTTATGTTTTTTGCTTCATCAAAATCCAAAAATTACATGTTGGGCTCAAGGCAGATGTTGAGCCATTCGGTCCATTCACCTGATCCACCAGCACCAATCACCATTATGATCTAGCAAATTATCCCTTTTTTGAAAAAAGTCACTTCAAATTAAAAAAGAAATAATTCATAGGTCAGAAAGAGAAACTAGCGACGTTTAATGAATATAGGGTTAGAAGATTGACTCTGTAACTTCCACGATATCTCTTCTTCTTCAACAAGCTTCGAGGTCTCCTCTCAACTGTCTTTGTCTCTGATTCTCCATCCCTCTGTGCTCCTCATTATTCATCCTTCATTTATTCGATCATACATAAACATCTGGCCCCTACAGAAGATCGTATCATCTCGTCTCAATCCGTGAACAAGCTTCCTCGACTTCTCCGATCTCTTCCATCTACCTCCATCGCGAAACCTCATTCAAAAACCAAACCAAAAAGTCCAACGAACTTAGGGATTCGCTGCGAGGGTCACCGAAAAGAAGATTCGAAGGTTGTTGTAGCGATGAACGACGAGTTTTCACTTTTTCAGGTAACGAACTTCGTACCGAAATCTCTTATGGACCTTTCTTCCACTCCTTCTTTTGCTTCCATTTCTTGTTGCAGTATAATTCCGGAGGATTCGTCCATGTTGTTCGTGTTTAAGCTATTGTTAATGGAGTTGCGTGATGAAGTTAAATACGCGATAAAGATGAGGATATCATTGATGTGAAGATTCACGATGCAGTGAGGTATGCGCTCGTGTTTCCGAGATGATGGAGTGATTGATTCAGTGAAGCTGATGGAGATAGGATGATTTCAGACAGTGATAATGATTCAAGTGCATACAAACTCAGAGAGAGTTGGAGAAAGATTGCAGAGAAGATTCGTTGGAGGTTGAGGATGAAGATTGAAGGTGTTTTTTCAGAGAGAGAGATCGAAGGAAATTTCTCAGAAAAATATCAGATTCAAAGGTGGGTACCAATCTTCTGAAATGATTTAAGAATGCTTGATGGAGGTGTTGAAACTGAAGATGACTGAGGAGATTCTTTTTCAGAGAAAGCGTAGAAAGAAAAAGGAATTTTCTGGAGAGTTCTTGATATTTTTCGCTCTGAATTTCTGTTGTGAATTGTATAGAATAGATATATATTGGTATATGGAGTTTTCTCTGTGTAAATATCTTGTATTCTCCCTTCTCTATTTTCTGTTGGATGTTCTGTTATCTGGAAGTTTTTCTGTTATAGTGGTTATGAACAATTAGCTGGCTGTTTTTTTGGAAGGTTGGAAACTGTTAGAGGGTTGTTAGAAGGTTAGTTAGAGTTTGTTGGACTGTTTTGGAAAATGGTTAGAGGAAAATTTTTCTGTTTAGAAACAATTCTAGAGGTTTTGTCAATTGGTTGTTACAGGTTTTGGGATCTGCTAGAATTCTGTTAGGACAGTTTTTTGGAAGTTGGTTTTTGACAGTTAGAATTCTATTATGGATTTTTTGGGGTTATAGAAGTTTGTGAAGTTAGAGGCTGGTTAGTGAAGTTAGAGGCTGTTATAAACAGTTAGAAAATCTATTAGAAAATGGTTATGAATGAGTTGATTTGGTGTTATTTATACAGGTAAATGAAATAGTACCATGAGACACAAGCTTTGAAGATGCCTACCGGATGAGGTTAAAGCAATGGTGCAGCGTTACTCATACGAGTCCGGTTTGTTGGAATACTGATAAATCATGTAAGCATTATTCAGGTATGATATGAAACTTACTAATTATTTCTTAAGTTCTCTACTTTGTTGAGTCCTTTCTTTTCTTGAAAATAAAACCCAAAGGTTTTAATAAAGCCATGTATTCTCATAGATTGTTTCACTGTTTCTATTTAGATATTGGGCGGGAATGAGAATAATGCTTTTCCATCTTGCTGGCTGCTCGCGGTTGTAAATATGAACCAATATGATATAGATTTTGCTGACATACAATCTTCGCGTCTGAAGCGAGACCATATTGATGGAAATCCATGCAGCAATATCAGAGACGAAATCGTTCATCTATTTCGCTATTAAGAAGGTAATGTATTCCATTTACATTCAATCATACCTCTTAGAACCTGCAAAAGAACTAAGTATCTATGTTGATGCCTTTGAGCAAGGTTTTGAGTTGAACTGGCTGGTATTTTTAGACAAGTTGTGACCCTTTTTTTTGTTCTTGCAGGACTGCATGTTATTGTTTAGAACTTTCTGTTTGAATGGTTTGGAGCTGAAGAAGTAGCTAGCAATATGGAATTGGGCACAAAATAACGAAGTCTTTTAATAGGTGACCCTAATTTAGAACTGTTTTTGAATTGTATTTGGACAGATTTGGTGTAATTGTTTTGTTTTTTATGGACGAATTCAGTGTATTTGAAATAAGGTATTGGTTCAATGTGTTGCGAGTTGAGTCTTTTTGGATTTGAAAAATTCACAAGGTTCAAGGCTTAGCAAAGTAATGGATAAAATGTATTGAATGTATGTGATTGTATAGAGTTTTGGACCTTGGGATTTTGTACTCGAACCTGGATAAATGAGTATTGGTAAATGATGGTGAAATGATATTTGTATTTGAAAAGAATTGTAAACTTGAACCTATGAATGAATAAAAATTTTGAATTCTGATTGAATGAACTTTGAACTTGATTGTAACTTGATTTGCAAGTTGATGCATATTTCATTTTTAATACCAATATAAATTCTTACCGAATTTGAATTATCTTCAATTCAATGAAAATCCCTAGTTCAACTCTTCCATCCATGTTAACTTGTATAATAAGCAACACACTAATGCCTTGATCAACACTTCATCTTATGTAGCATGAACCAAAACCTTAGAAACTCACTCTTCAAATATTTGATTTGGAAAAATTCTTTTTCACTTGATGATTTAACATAAAACAATACCTTTGGAGCATCCTTGGATGAAGATGAATGAGACTTGAATCATAGCGGAAAACCTTTAAGATAACCATATCCATGATCTTTATACTGATGAATTCTAACAAGCTCAAACCATATAAAAGAAACCCTAGCTTCAAGATCCTCGATCCCATGTCCAGTTTATCGATGATGCATGATTTATTGTAAGACCTAATGGAAAAATGCACATGAAAACATACAAGATGCATAAGCCTGATAAAAATGAGAGGGTAGGACAAATTTGGGGTATTACAGGTGCCCCTATTTAATCATCTTAAACCTGAAAGTACGATTGGAGCGTGCCTTTTGGACGTTCGAGGTAGAAGATGATTAAATACTAATGCCAAAAATTTGTTCTGAAAGATGGGGGTAAATGAGTATTATTTTATTTTTATGATATCTGTTGGGGTGTTAAAAGAGGTGGGACTAAACCGTAGGTATACGTCGATCAGAACACGAAGACACCAGAGTACACCGATTAGAACACGATGACAGAGAGGAAAACACGGATCAGAACACAATGATTGAAAGGAAGACATCGATCCGGACACGATGATTGAGAGGAAAACACCTGATCAGGACACGATGATTCACAGAAGGGGTATTGATCAGGACACGATAACCAAATGTAAGACATCAATCAGGACACGATAACCAAAAGGAAGACATTGATCAGGACACGATGATTCACGGGAGAGGTATCGATCAGGACACGATAACCAAAAGGAAGACATCGATCAAGACAAAAATGACTAACAAGAATACATCGATCAGGACATGATGATTCACAGGAGAGGTATCGATCAGGACACGATAACCAAAAGGAATACATCGATCAGGACACGATGATTCGTAGGATAGGTATCGATCAGGACACGATAACCAAAAAGGAAGACACCGATCAGGACATAACGGGTGTTGGAAGGTAGCATGATGTAAACACAAGGACAAAGAAGACTTGTAATGTGGCGTGATGCCAATACAAGGAGTAGATCGAGCTTGTAACATAGCGTGATGCCAATACAAGGAAGAGATCAGACTTGTAACATAACATGATGCCAATACAAGGAAGAGATCAGACTTGTAACGTAGCATGATGCCAATACAAGGAAGAAATCGGACTTGTAATGTGGCATACTACCAATACAAGGAAGAGACCGGACTTGTAACGTAGCATGATGCCAATACAAGGAAGAGATCAGACTTGTAATGTAGTGTGATGCCAATACAAGGAAGAGATTAGACTTCTAACGTAGCATGGTGCCAATATAAGGAAGAGATCAAACTTGTAACATAGCCTGATGCCAATACAAGAAAGAGATTAGACTTATAACATAGCGTGATGCCAATACAAGGAAGAGATCTAGCTTTTAACGTAGCTTGATGCTAATAAAAGGAAGAGATCAGACTTGTAACATAGTGTGATGCCAATACAAGGAAGAGATCGAGCTTGTAACGTAGCATGATGCCAATACAAGGAAGAGGTCGGACTTGTAACATAGTGTGATGCCAATATAAAGAAGAGACCAGACTTGTAATGTAGCATGATGCCAATACAAGGAAGAGATCAGACTTGTAATGTAGCATGATGCCAATACAAGGAAGAGATTAGACTTGTAATGTAGCATGATGCCAATATAAGAAAGAGATCATACTTGTGACATAGCGTGATGCCAATACAAGGAAGAGATCAGACTTGTAATGTAGCGTGATGCCAATACAAGGAAGAGATAAGACTTGTAACGTAGCGTGATGCTAATACAAGGAAGAGATCATACTTGTAATGTAGCGTAATGCCAATACAAGGAAGAGATCATACTTGTAACAAAGCGTGATGCCAATACAAGGAAGAGATCGATCTTGTAACATAGCGTGATGCCAATACAAGAAAGAGACCGGACTTGTGACGTAGCATGATGCCAATACAAGGAAGAGATCGGACTTGTAACGTAGCATGATGCCAATACAAGGAAGAGATCGGACTTGTAACGTAGCATGATGCCAATATAAGGAAGAGACCGCACTTGTAACGTAGCTTGATGCCAATATAAGGAAGAGATCAGACTGATGCCAATACAAGGAGGAGATCATACTTGTAATGTAGTGTGATGCCAATACAAGTAATAGACCGGAGTTGTAATGTAGAATGATGCCAATACAAGGAAGAGATCAGACTTGTAACGTAGCATGATGCCAATACAAGGAAGAGATCGGGCTTGTAACGTGGCATGATGCCAATACAAGAAGAGATTATTCATGTAACATAGCGTGATGCCAATACAAGGACGAGATCAAACTTGCAACGTAGTGTAATGCCAATACAAGGAAGAGACCAGACTTGTAACGTAGTGTGATGCCAATACAAGGAAGAGATCAGACTTGTAACATAGCGTGATGCCAACACAAGGAGGAGATTAGACTTGTAACATAGAGTGATGCCAATACAAGGAAGAGATTGAGCTTGTAACGTAACATGATAACAATACAAGGAAGAGATCGGACTTGTAATGTAGCATGATGCCAATATAAGGAAGAAATCAGACTTATAACGTAGCATGATGCCAATACAAGGAAGAGATCATACTTGTAACTTAGCATGATGCTAATACAAGCAAGAGATCGGACTTGTAACGTAGCTTGATACCAATATGAGGAAGAGATCATACTTGTAACATAGCGTGATGCCAATACAATGAAGAGATCAGACATGTAACATAGCGTGATGCCAATACAAGGAAGAGATTAGACTTGTAACATTGCGTGATGCCAATACAAGGAAGAGATCAGACTTGTAACATAGCATGATGCCAATAAAAGGAAGAGATTAGACTTGTAACGTAGCATGATTCTAATACAAGGAAGATATCGGACTTGTAACATAGCCTAATGGCAATACAAGGAAGAGATCAGACTTATAACGTAGCGTGATGCCAATACAAGGAAGAGATCAGACTTGTAACATAGCATGATGCCAATACAAGGAATATATTGAATGTGTAACGTAGCATGATACCAATACAAGGAAGAGATCAAACTTGTAACATAGCATGATGCCAATACAAGGAAGAGATCAGACTTGTAACATAGCATGATGCCAATACAAGAAGAGATCAGACTTGTAGCGTAGCGTGATGCCAATACAGGGAAGATATCAGAGTTGTAACATAATGTGATGCCAATACAAGAAAGAGATCAGACTTATAACATAGTGTGATTCCAATACAAGGAAGAGATCAGACTTATAACGTAGCAATATTAGGAAGAGATCGAGCTTGTAACGTAACGTGATTCCAATACAAGGAAGAGATCAGACTTGTAACATAGCATGATGCCAATATAAGGAAGAAGTCAGACTTATATCGTAGCCTGATGCCAATACAAGGAAGAGATCATACTTGTAACTTAGCATGATGCCAATATAAGGAAGAGACCAGACTTGTAACGTATCTTGATGCCAATACAAGGAAGAGATTAGAATTGTAACATAGTGTGATGCCAATACAATGAAGAGATTAGACTTGTAACGTAGCGTGATGCCAATACAAGGAAGAGATCAGACTTGTAACGTTGCGTGATGCCAATACAAGGAAGAGATCACACTTGTAACGTAACGTGATGCCAATACAAGGAAAAGATCAGACCTGTATTGTAGCGTGATTCCAATACAAGAAAGAGACCAGACTTGTAACATAGCGTAATTCTAATACAAAGAAGAGATTAGACTTGTAACTTAGCGTGATGCCAATACAAGGAAGAGATTAGACTTGTAACATAGTGTGATGCCAATACAAGGAAGAGACCAGACTTGTAACGTAGCATGATGCCAATACCAGGAAGAGATCAAACTTGTAACGTAGCATGATGCCAATACAAGGAATGTATAACACAAATGAGTCTTTGAATCGATACGGCCGAGTATCAAAAAAAGATACAAACAATTATCAAGGAAAGGTTAAACACGGACGAGTGTTTAGGAGACTGACACAGATGAGTGTTTTTGAGTTGACACAGACGAGTGTTGGAAGACTAAATTATTTTTCAGATGGGAACTGGCTAACAAACGATAACTAGGTTTAGAATGACAAGGTGTATTAATTTTA